ACTAGCGAACCACCCCGGCTCCGTACGGGTGCAATGCTGATACTAAATATAAATTTATCCACCGGAAATTTAAGGGCATGGAGAAACAGTGATAATAATAATAATAAGGTTTATTTGGATAAAATTCAACATTATATCTTATTAAACTATGTAAAACAAATAAACTAGGAGAGAAACTGCAAAGCCATTGGCTGTCCGCCATGAGGGTGGTTGTAGTTTAAATTTAAATTATGTGATACAATGTAGGTTGCAATTTTTTAACATAGATAAAATTGATATAGTAAAATTTGTAAAACAAGATAAAAATATAACAATAGAATATATAATTCATTACATTACAAGCTTATTATAGATCATTAAAAAAAAAAGAATACGACAGAATTAGTGATAATAATGTTTATTTACCAAGTGCATGGATATGGTGATGAAAAGGTAACTTTATTTTAAGAACACGCTTTTTTCCTCCGCGGCTGTCACCCTAGTTGGAATATTGAAAAATCCTTTCTTCTTGCACATCCATAACATAAAACGAACCTACATAACGCGCCCCTTTTATCCCCACGGAGGGCGTACCAGTTAGAATATTTGAAAATCCTTTCTAAGTCCGCATCTAAGACCTAAGAAGCACCTATAACCAAATTTTAGCTTTCTAGGACTAACCAGTACGGAGAAACAGATAAATAAGTGTTAGGTGACTTTCACATTCTCCCATGGTTCCATATTATGAATGTGGAACCATGGGAACACTAAACTTGACGCCTTCCTGAAACACATCAACAGCATGAGATCTTCCATCACTTTCACAATGGAAAAGGAAATCCACAAAGAATTGCCATTCTTATACGTTTTGATGAAGAGGAGCGACACTGAGTGGGAAACATCTGTATACCGAAAACCCACTCATACGGGACAGTATCTGAACCACGAATCCAACCACTATCAATTGACTAAAAGAGGAATCATCAAGACTCTATTAAACCGTGCTTTTGGTCTCTGTAATACGAAGGAAGGTCTCGAGAAGGAACTAGATATCATCAAAAATGATCTTCAACGGAATGGCTACTCCAAAGCGATGGTAGAAAAAACTTTGGCTAAAAGAGAGCAGGAGCCTCTCAAGGAAGAGAAGCCGTCGCAACCAGTGCTTGCACTTCCCTACATCAGAGGGTTATCGGAGAGGATAAGAAGAATTGGTTCCAAGTACAACATCAGAACCTGCTTTAGATCCGGTAACACTATCCGTAGCAGCCTCACGAAAAACAGGCCACAAAACGCGGACTGCGATTCCAAGAATTGTATTTACCGGATACCCTGTGAGTGCGGAAAATCCTATATTGGTGAAACTAAGAGGCCATTGAATGTTCGCATTGCCGAGCACAAGAAGCACACACAGCGAGG